GCGTCAGTAACTGACGTTATATGTTTTGTCACGAAATACACTGGTTTTTTGAATAAATATCTATTTGAATTACGAACATCAAACATTTAATGCCTGGTATGCGCGCGCGCGGCTTCGAGATGGATACTTCTCTTTGTATACGAATTCTTCCCGTTACGTTTGTCTTATATACCTGTATGTATATATATATATATATAGATATATATATATATAAATATATATATATGTATATATAAATATATATAAATATATATGTATGTATGTTTATATATATATATTTTATATGTATATATATATATATATTTTTTAGGACACTCGGTACATTTTTTTACTTGTAGCCTTTCATTGTAATCTACACGCGCGTAGCCGACACAAATTAGTTTCTACGTGCATAGCGCACCTTAAATTGTGATTGTACAATTGAGCATTGTATTTTAACGTTGATACGGTCGTCGGTGGATTCTGAGACCAGAGGAATGCGTACCATTCATTACCTTTTCTTTTCATTTTAATTCTGTGTTCTTCTCCTTTTTCTATTTTTTCTTCTTTTTTGTTCTTTTTATTAAAAATAAGTTACGGAATATTTAGATACGTTCAACGTAATATACTGTTGAAAGGAAATATATAAATATATATATATATATATGAAAAGTACTATATTTTCTATACCATTAAGTATATCGAACATATTAATAATATAAATATGAATAGTGATAAATATTTAGATGAAAAAAAAGGTATATGTACTATTATATATATATACAGATGTGAGCGAATTATTAGGCTCAGGTTATGAATAAGTAAACGAGATAAGAAAGATTTTTAACGAGTGATATTCTTTTTATAATATTTCTACATTGATTTCATATTTTACACGCATACGTCTAAACTTTCGAACGTGTCAATGAAAATTCGATACGTTCGCCAAATTCCGAATGGAAACGGAGGAAAGAGTTTACCTTTTGACCTCCTCATCGTCGCGTCCAAACGTGTAACGCGAAAAGAAGCGATCCTTTTTCTTACGTTCCCGCAAAACCTGACGAATTGTGAACAGACCGCGCGAGTCGAATAATCAGCACACCTCTGTACGCTTTGAATACAATTAAAAAATCCAGAGAACGTAGACTTTTCATTTCCACGGTTTCGCTCTGCCGATACTACTCCCGCTTCGCTTCGCGCGCTTCAAACGATGCAAATCAATCGTACCGATGATCATCATGCAAATAACTCGTTTGATAAGTTCAAACAAAACGGCTGCGCAAACAAGTTTCCCATCGTTCATAATACAAATATCAATAATCATTACCAGCGCGAAAAGGTAATCGATAAATTACGAATCCTCACGCATTCGCGAGAAACTAGAAAACAAACACGTACGAATATCACACGAATATCACATGAAATATAAAATACCCAAAGCGTTCGGTATAATCATCAAAGAAAACCATTTTCTATAATTCCATTGTTCCAATTGTATTCTTGAAAACGTAACATCGAAAAATTCGCAGTCGATCCGTTGGATTAACACGTGAATGCTATGGGGGTCATGGATGACCCCTAACCGAATTAAATTATTATAGTTCACTCGATGATACGATGATTATTAGAAACGTTTTTATATTATAAACAATGCTACCCCATGTGATATTCATATGGATGAACATAAAATAATGCAACTCGAGCGAATGATTTAATATTATACTTTTTTTTTTAATGTGTTAACACTTTGCACTCGAGAGGTGACTCACAGTCATTTGGTTTGATATAGTAAAATTACAAAGTTTCATGTTCAATATTAAAGTTCATTTAACGTTACATGAAACAAAATAGAATAGTTCTATCTCTTAATTTCTATATTATATTAATACTGATTATGAAGCATATCATTGATACTTCATTAGAAAATGAGGGATATATCTAGATTCTGTAAAGAATACGAAACCTTCTGTAGATTCCAGTAACATAGATATGAAATGTTCAAATACTAGAAAATAAGGAAATTATCTACTGATTTCTTGCTGTTGCATCAGTTAACCTTTTGCACTTGTTTTTCGCTAGAACCGTTTAATCCTTTCTAGTTAGATATAAACGAGAGTCTTTAAAATAGGTTTATCAAAAAATCACATAAATTAGGGAACAAAGCTGTTTCCTTCCAATATTTCACATATTGACGCAGTATACAAAGGTTAACCCCTTGACCTACAATATCCTTCGTGAAAATTTTTAATCGATTTCGAGAAACCTGAGTGTTATGTATCTGTTTTTAAATATAAATTAAACGAT